ACCCAATGTAATACAACTAGCCAGAGAAGGTATAAGTACTGCTAGCAGCAGCAAATTTATGAGCCTCTCTTGGGACAGTGTTCAAAACACAACTTTAGAGTAGTCTAAGTTGCCAATAGGCTGTCTAAGTTGCCAATAGACCTATATTTTTATTTTCTAGATGTCTCGATAGGTCAGTGGATTAGTGTCTCACGTAAATTTTGGATCGACTCTATCCATCTACTAATCTAACTTCTAACACTTCTTGCCTTAAAAAAAAAAAAAATTGTTGTTTCCTACCATGAATGGAAATAGAAATTTTTAGTGCACTCCAATCTTAAAAGAAATGATACCTCTATTCCTTATTTTTAAAATTAATAATAATTTTTTTCAGATACCACAACTACCCTTTTCAGTTATGGTAAGATCTTTCTATCTTCGCCGTATCCTCCTCTTTCCCAATCAACGTTTTTAGTATATTTTTGTTAATCCCTCTTTTTGTTTTGCTTTCTGCCTTTCTAAACCTTTTGTTTATTTTGTATCCTTCTCTCATTAGGGTTTGATATTTATCTTAACAGAGTTAACGATCAATGTAATTAATCTTGGAACCATAAAAAAAAATAAAAATAAAAATAAAAAAATAACTATTAAAACTTCATAAACCATTAAACTTCTTTGATGGTAATAATAGTGATGTGAATAGTAATTTGTTTCTTTTATTTTTATTTTTTATTTTTTATTTTATGCATTGAGTTTACTGTTTGGTTTTTTTTTTTTTTTTTTTCCTCAGGTGATTTTTAAAAATTAATTTGGATGGTGATGGGAATGGTAATATTTAAAATAATAATAAAAAAAATCTTATCTATATTTTTTGCTTTGAGTTTAGTTTGATCTTTTTCCCTAATGTGAATTTAAGAACTAATTTAGAATTTATTTGAATATTTATGTTTACATTGTACTTGTTGATAAATAAAGTCTTTTAACTCTTTTGACCATAAAATTAAAATAGTAGGGATTTTGTGAAAATAAAGTATAGTATAGAAAATAAATAAGGTAAAAGAAAAAGTTTACAATATTATAAAGGGAAAATTACACATAAATAAAGTTAGCAGTCATAAATAACAAATTGATTAGTTTTAAAAGTTAATTTTCTATTTTGATTGAATATATAAGCAAAATAATTACAAATACATCAATATTTATTGCTTAGCTCCAAAATATCCTCACACTCTTATTTCAAAATCCCAAAATATCTTCCTTAAAATTATATAATTTCAATATAATAAAATAAATAATTAAATATTAGTTTGACTAGCAAATAATAATTCTCTATCACTTATCTTGGTCGTCAATCAGTCACCAACGTCCAGTGCATCACCCATCTCGCAGGTCTTCTAGGTCCCCCTCCCTCTCTCTCTTCACACACACATATAAATATAAATATGTTATATTCTTGTTCAGGAGTTTCAGATCTAGAACACTGTAAGCTTTAGAAGTATGTTATATCTTATGAATTTAGGGTTATTGAAGAGGGTTATCAATTTGGCATCTCAAAATTTATTGTGATTTTTTATAATTGATTGAAGAAGGAACAACAACTAGAGACCTCTGGACAACCAAAAAGAAAGGCAGGTGGATATTTCAATACTTCAATACCCTACTAGATATGAAATCCTTAATAAATCCCATTATAGTTTTGAAATCTTCTAATATATTAACAATAATAATAGCTTATTTTAGGTAACAATTGAAAAATTTTCTATTTGATATACCATCACTGCCATAGTAAGCTTGTAGAGCTTTCCTTTTCAATTCTTACCTTTGAGATCAGATGACATCAATTCCAAAGGGCAATCCAATGGCGATGGCCGACCAAGAAAAGAGATGAATAATTTTTATTTGCTAGTTAAACCAATTTTTAATTATTTATTTTAATATTTGAAATTAAATAATTTTAAGAAGGATATTTTTGTATTTTGCAATAAAAGTGTGAGGACATTTCGAACCTTAGCAACAATTAATATTATTAAAGTTTATGTTTTTTTCTGAATATTTTTTTTTTTGAAAGGTAAATTTCAATTTTTATAAATAAGAATATAAGCATATGTACGGGCCCATGAGTTAGCCCAATGCAATCACAAAGTGTCCAACATACATATATATGTATATATATATATACACACACACATTCGGAAAACCTATTCCACAAACCCTATTTCATAAACCCTTCTGCCGCATTGAAGAGCCAGATAAAGTTGCAATAGAAAGGAAACGAAGAGAAAACAAAGAAAGCCAGCAATGGAAGGCGACACACAAAGTCTTCCATGTGATGTCATATACACCATACTCTCCAAACTACCCGTCAAATCTCTGTTTCAACTGAGATGCGTTTGTAAATCATGGCGTGATATAATCTCCGAACCCAAATTCTCGAAATCACATCTCACTGAATCAATTAAGTTGGTCAACCGTCAAAGAATCTTTGTCCGGGACACCATGTCCGCCTGTTTCCGCTCCATAGGTTGTGAGGACGGTACCGGTTTAGACGAAGAACTTAAGTTTCCTGTTCAGAAGTATCGAAGGGCTATAGTGTTGTGTTCTTGTAATGGTTTAGTACTGTTGCGTGCTCACAAGAGTGACAATATGTGTGTACTTTGGAATCCAGCTATCAGAGATTACAAAAGGTTCTCATGTCCATCTCATATATCTCGCAACTATATGCCACATGGACTTTACTACGATTCTTCCAGGGATGATTACAAGGTCATATTTTTCTCTAAACAGCCGGAAAATAATTTTATTGTTTTTAGTTTCAAAGGTCAATCTTGGACAGAGCCTAAGAAATCCCCTTATTTGGGTTTTCACGGTGAGATGGTCCTTGCAAATGGAGTGTTGCACTTGGTTGCTCTTAAACCTAGGAAAGTTGCCAACGTGAGGCCTCCCGCTCAACCATACCCATTTTTCTATGATGATAGTGATAGTGATAGTGAGGATGGCAATACACACCTATATAAGCTTGTTTGCTTTGATACAGTGGATGAGAAGTTCAAGGAGATGTCACAACCAAATTGTATAAATGAAGGAGTCAAATTTAGTTTGACGCTTATGAGAGGATGTCTCAGTTTATATTGTGATACGAATCATCGGAAATGTGTGGTGGTGTGGACTATGAAGCAATATAGTGACAACAATTCTTGGACTAAGTTCATTGTCATCCCACGTCGGCAAGGAATATGCTATTTTTCTACCTTGACACCGTTGTGTGCTACGAATAAAGGTGAAGTTGTGGTGATGACTGAAAGAGGAAATCTACTCATCTATAATGATAAAGAAAACAAGCTCCGGCATATTTGGGGAGAAAACAAGCACCGGCCTTTATGGGGAGAAAATCTAAGTTATCCAACTTTATATGTGGATACTTTAGTTTTGCCCATTTGTGCGACTCCAGTAAAAAGAAAGAGGAAAAGGGAATTATAAAGGAGGTAATTAAAAAAAAAAAAAAAATCTCTATTTTTTAGCTTCTCTTTAATTTCTAAGTTAATTATGTTTGATATTAGTTATCAAAAGAAATATATAGAATTTTTTCAATAGTAGATTCAATTACCTTGGTCATGCCTGTATTTTCGATTACATATTTATGTAGCTAAAGCATTGTAGTTAAATTTAGGGATTAGTGAAGATAATGAAGAAATGCAATGGTAAATAGAAACAGGACTGAATTATATATGCTGATATGCATGTGTGCATATATACGTATGGTTGTATGTATTTATATTATGAATTTTTAACTAAGTGCATACATCTTGACAAAGTTCGATCCCATTAACCATTAATTACCGAAAAAACAAAAACGGTTCATATCCCATACTGATAGTGATTGACCTTCTATTTGACAATGTTATTTGCCATTTAATATTTTCATAACTTACAAGTTATATTAGTAAAATTGTGGTCTATTTTTTCCTTCCCCCTAGCTCCTTTAGTATATTTTTATTTATTATTATTATTATTATTATTTTTTTTTTGTGAAGCTTACTTTTTTTTTTTTTTTTTTTGTGAGTCCCAGTAGGGTCATCCGTCCCCACTAATTTTTTATTTATATTAAATACATACCTCAGTTGAATTTTTGGTAAAACTCATCTATTTTGGTAGTTTGAATATATATTTATTTATTATTATTATTTTGCTGTCGTTTAAAGTTGCCCTCCCTATTATTTATACCCAGCTTCGCTTGAATGATAGGGACCTCAAGAATTTGCAGAGCAACGTTTGAGTGTTGGGTTAGCTTTATGTTTCATTTATCTCTACATTATGCAGTAATGATATTGTGAAGCACTCTAAGCCGTTCGCCTTTATTCTCTTGCTTTTATAATGGTTTAAATGTATTTGAACATGTCCATATTTTGACATTAATACTTCCCAAAGCATGAATAAAAAACAAGCTTTAGATTTGACTTCTTTCAAATGCGTTTGTTTGTTCTTTAATTGGCAGTAAATGTTGCAGTTTGTTTCACGTTGAGGAAAGGACTTGGCAGTAAGCTGTTGGTTTTTGTTCTAATACCACTTTATTAGAAATAGTGAACGGGCTAGAGACACACACAACAACACAATAATATGGAAGAGGAATTGAGGAAAGCAACACTTAGAAATATATTATATTCTATTCATACTATTTCAATTATTCCCTACCCACCTATAAAATAAGTATAGTATATAGGCTCTAAGGCATATCACTACAAGAAAAATGATTTTTAACAAGGGACGAAAAACAGTTCTACAATGGGCGATGCCCGTTGTGATATCCCATGTCGTTGTTAACTTGGGGTCTTCTACGACGGTTCCAACCCATTGTAGAAAGAGGGATTTCTACGACGGGCAGCGCCGGTTGTAGAAAGATTGCTTTCTACAAGGGTACGTGCCTCCTGTAGAAAGAGTGCTTTCGATGAAGGGTCTGGCCCCATGTAAAAAGAATTTTTTTTATAAAAAATTTCAATGATTGCCTTACATTGCCCCAACACAAAATCAGTACAACTAAACACAACAATAAATCCACCCAAAGGTATATATATCCACACCAAGCCATATACAAACAATATGATACAAGATGAAAAAGAGTTCAAGTCATATAAAATGAAAATTTACATCTACATCCCATTAATCACAAACAAATAGATTCCAAATTTATTTTATATTAGTTAAAGATTACAAAGTTCCCTTCATTGTTACCATCTGTATAAGGATTAGAAAAGTTTCAATACCAACACAACCAAGGCATTTCCCATCATGCTTAGATTGCAAAAACTTTCCCTCCAAAGCATTCAAGGCAAGACTCCAAGCAGTGAAAACAAAGAAGAAAATTTTAGCCGAAACTCTCACTAGAAAACTCAAGAAAGAAAAAATATATTAAAAATAAATAAATCAGAGCATACACAAATCTATGAATTAATATCCATTAAATAAGTGATAATAAAAAATTGTTCCACTAAAAGTGTGACAGATAATAGGTTCCTTGGTAATATCTCCGATTTGCATTAAAATAAGCTACTAGCCTACCATTAATTGTCTTAGGCCATTAATCTTTTAGAAAAAACTGGTAATTAATAAGACTGAAGCTCTCAACTTAAGTATTATGATGTTGTGCTGAAATCATACAAATTTTAGATCAGTCCCACATCAAATACAGGACATAAGCAAACAAGAAAGAATATTTAGGCACATTATCTTCATCAAGAGCTTCTGGTTAGGAGGCTTACACAACCACTAGAAGGAAGTGCCTTGTAAATTTCTATGTATTGCTGTCCGTGCAATAAAAGACGTGGATCAAATCTAGCAACAGAAAGCAGAATTTTAGTTAGTTTTCAATTTACCAAGGTGAATGCATGTATCGATGATTCATATAAAGGAGAGGTTATGGCCTAACAGGCTAACAAAGTAGTGTTTGTAAATTATCAAATTCTAGTGTGTACAAAGATGGAAAAAAACCTCAACCCCTTTCAAGATACATGAATACATACCGCAACCCTGGTAGTTGAGAAATTTGAGACGCAGGTCCATGAGAAAATAGAACAGCAAAAGTTGGCAGGACCTACAAACTAGGAAATTGACATGAAACTATGTCATCTTGTGTCAAATGTAATATTTTGGCAAAATTCTTTTGCAAACATACTTAATATACTAACTTGAGTAGAACCAAAGGCAACTACAAAGAAAGCACCAATATTGTCCTACTAATGTTCACAGGGTATAACTAATACTCAAACAAGCACTTCAATGGAGAGTCTATAACCCCAATCTCACTTTCCAATTTGTATAACAGCTTGCAAATTCTTGTTCGTTTCTCATTTGTCTTTCAAAATTCCAATTTTCTGTGCTTAGATGCTAACCCAAGATTAAAATTTTCAAAGAACAATCAATATGTACATTCTCCTCATTAAAAAAAAAAAAAAAATAGAAAAAAGAAAAAAAAGAAAACAGCATGGTTTTAAGCCTTTGAAAGCTAAGTCTGTAGATTATCTTTTGGGGCAAACTCTCAAGCTTATAGTTTTCCAAAATGCCCAATCTAACCTCTTTTGCGGGTGTAGCGTAAGTCAAAGTTGAATTTTAAAACAATCACCATCTTAAACTTTGTTCACAAAACAATTCTTCTTTCAGAAGGTGATAGCTCATCATACTATACTTAAAGAATTTTAACTTTTAAGCCTTCGGCCCCACCTAGTCGAGTTTAAATCCAGTGCTGAACTAGTTTTCTGAAACAGGACAAAGCAGATGATAGGTAGTACACAATTTTGGCTCCAAACAGTATTATGTCGTCCATGATCCATCTATTTGTTTTTCAGTTTTATTGGTTTTTTTTTTTTTTTTTTGAAATTTCTATAGAGCTTTGAAATTCATCTTATTTATTTATTTTAAATTTTAGATAAGCAGAATTTTGACATTCGTCATATATAAATCTATCTTCTATTAAGACTACTAATCAACCTTTATGTTATTTAGGCAGTTGGACTAGAAGATCAAAGTGATGGAGTACTTTAATGATTTTAATGACAATTTGGGTTTGAGCATCTTGGTTGAACTATGTCAGAACTTAGCATTCGAATTTCCCAAATTGATCCGTAAATCCCAACTAGTCTTTGAAGATAATAAAAGGCAAATAAATCTAAGAGTTACTGAATACATCAACACTAATATGCATAATCTTGATAAAAATATTAACAAGTAACTATGCAATGTGTGTGAAAGTAATATTCAAAGGCATATAATGAGAGAATCTATAAACCTTGGTTTAGTAGTAGCATGAAAATCCTGTTCGTCGTGTTTTAAAGGCAGTCTATATCTTTTACTAGATAATCCTGGTAACAACATAACATTCAATTAAATAATTACTGTCTCCAGATGAGAACATGTATAATTACAAACACAAATACACCAATGTATATTATATGTGCAGATGGATATATATTGTTTATGACAATAGTGATTGGGGAAAAGGTTATCAGCATGTACGATTTCAGAACTAGGAAGAGTTGACTCAAATTAATACATTATCCGAATCAATTTAGCCTAATTAGGGTACCAACACTCAGTAGTGATTAAATCAATTCAGCTCCAAGTGAACAGTGAGTCATTAGCTGAATTCCAAGTTTTCATTTTTAGAAATTTATTCTATAATTATAGCAGAAAATATAAATAAATTTTAAAATTAGTTTCAAAATTGTAAAATTAAATTGGAAAAGTACCAATAGCTGAGGACACTGTAAGGACTCGGCAAGGCACATACTACTGATCTCATTAATAATCTGTGTAAAGTAAACATTAAGAGTTATTAAGAACAATAATAAAAGATAATGCTAACATTAAAATTAGTGAACAAATAAAATTAAACCAAACCATATATATAGAGAGAGAAAGAGAAAGGTAATCCGATTACCGGTGAGAAAATAAGGAAAGCGGCGAAGCTCTGTGCCTTGAAGGTAGAGAGAGACTTAAAGATGGTGAGATAGCTGATAATAAAATACAAAATAGAAGTGATATAACCTACTATCTTTTGAAGAGAAGGAAGAGAGATAGAGATTGAGAAGAAAGCAGAAGAATTAATACTTAATGGGATACGCCGATTGGGGATCACACAATAGACTTGATGCACTGTACCAATTTGACCTATAAAAGTATATTTGAGTTGCATAAAAATAAATGATGGGATTATATTCGATTCTTTTAAAGTGCTAATAATCCAAACTACTGAAAAAAGAGAATAGTGATAAAACAACTTGTTTCCTTCCTATTTCTATTTTTTAATTTCCATTCTCCTTGTGAACAAAGTGATTCTTAAATAAATTCTGTCATATGCCAAAATAGGGGAAAGGACATCACTTTTTTCCCCTTTATCTCTCCATTATATTAATTAATACTTCCCTTTTCATTGAATCCTCCCTTTTTCAGCTACCAAAAAGTGCAAGTGGTGTTAAGGCATTCGACATTCAACACAAAACCAGCTTTAAAACCCATTTCCATAACCTTACCATTCACCTACCTACTGGCGTTTAGCCTATAGCCTAAATAATGAGATAGTGTATATATGATTAGAAGCCTAAAGCTAATGCAGTGCCAATCATGGGGTGGTGGTGGTGATGGTGGTGGTAATAATAATAACAGCAACAACAAGAAGAATAAATATTGCTAATGAATGAATCAATCAGATTTCTAATCACATAAAAAATTAAAAATTGAGGTACTTACCCACCCATTTCTGATGACTCTTCTTTGTGAGAAACTAGTTCATGCGGATCAGCACCTCTTACAAAGTTTTGACTGCATATTATAGTTTCCACGCATCAAATATTAGATGATAACTAAAAACGAGATCAAGATCTTAAGTCAGCATGCGACATTGAAGAACACAAGTAATTATTGCTCAGACAAACTGTGCTTTTGCTACAAGAAACAACTAAATTTGTAAATATATACCATGGTTATTGTGCAACTATAACTTGTGCAAAAGTCAGTCTTATGATAAAAAGTCAGCTCAAACACTGAAGACATGATTTAAGAAAACTATCATTTTATTAGGAAATTAAAATTTCACTAATTGCAAACTCCAAAGAAAATTTAGCAGCAGCTTATACTGCATTGTTCACAAGATTTTAAATTTTTACTTGGCTAAATCCGACATGCAAATCATTGTCATATAAGTCAAACACCAAAAATTTACTGATTGAGTAAAAGCTTAAAGAAAATGATGGGGTAATATTTCCCTTGTTATTTGATGTTATAATTGTTCCAAAATAAAACAAATCAGAATTCAAAAATGAAAGAACCAGTCAATAAAAAAAATTGGCTACAGCAATTCTCCTCAGTTTGATCTTTAACACAAATCATTTCAGCTTATATTATTATTTCAGATGAACTTGTTAATTGGTCTAGTCTTCTATAATCTTATTCCATACTTTTTTACCCATTTTACTGTTCTGTCCAAATTCTCTGAATATAGAACATCAATAGAACACTCTATCCATTAGCAATCCAAATCTAACAAATGCCACAAGGGCAAGTTAGAAGAGTCAAAATCAAAGTTACCAAAGCTGACATTTTCTAATAAAAAGGCATGTTTTTTTAGCACTGAGATAAATAGCACATTAGCACTTGTGATAAAATTGGGAAATAGCATAAAGTAGAACTAACCTTTAACATTATAGGAACTGCCAAAAATTTAACTTTTCTCTTATAACTGCATCCCCAATATCCCCGTTTTGAAAGCAAACATCAATCAAGAACTTCCCGTCATATGAAATTCTAGCTTGTCTACACCGTTTTCAGTAAATTTCATACAATCGGTGAATTAGAGACCAATGGTAAAAATTAATACATGGGAAGGCAAAGACTTACTTCGGAAGGATACAACTGTTCAAGCTTTAACCGGGACTTGTTTTCCTTTAGAAGTCGGTATAACTCCGGTTTCCCCAACCAGAGTATAATAAAGTCAAGAAATATACATCTAAATAAAAAAATCAAAAGAAATATATATATATATATATATTTGTGTGTATATATATCTTTGTGTGTGTACAATCGCATATACACACATGGGCATGAATGAATGAAAGGATATTTCGAAGGGTTTTCTTTTCCTCGGAAGAGATTTTGTAGACTTGGATGGGCTTGCTCTTCATGAGCATCTCCTTCGGTCCGCGTTCGATCATGTAATCGAACGACACTGTGGTGCCTGAACAGCTCTCTCAACGCCTCGTAGTCCCATTTTGCCACCAAACTTGTTAGACGAGGGCACATCAAACAAAGATAAATCTAGGGTTTTTGAGACAAAAAGAGGCGAAAATTGTGGAGAGATTAGGGGGAAGAAGGATAGTGAATTTTTTTTGTTTTTGATTAGGTTTCGGAAAGTAACTGTGTTAGAGCACAAAGAAGAAGAGAGGAGAAGAACAGAGATGAGAGTTCTAAGATGAACCATATATATATATATATATATACGTACCTGGGTTATTTTCCTCTTAAGGCGAAACTTGAGGAATTTGGACTTAGAAAGGATTACGGTTTCGTGTGGATTTTGGTTGATGGATCGATGTGTGCGAATATGTGAGGAATAGGAATGGTTTGTGTGCGAATTTGGGAGGAATCGCGCGCCGCTAGCTTGATGAAAAACAATGGCCGCCAAAATTAACTTTTCATAAAAAGAAAGCCTATTCTACAAGGGGCCATGCGGGCCTGTTGTAGAAACACCTTTCTACAATGGGCTACGCGGGCCTTTTGTCAAAAAACTATCCTTCTACGAGGGTTTACATGGGCCTTGTAGAAAATGTGCTGTTAAAAGCCTATTTTCTTGTAGTGTATGTAACTAATTACATTTCAATGTCTAATTACTCCCATTGATTCCACTAACATAGTATTTAGTAGAAGTAACTCTCATGTCTTTCACTAACACAAATACAAACTCTCACTAACACATAATTAACACATCATATTAAAGGGCTTGTAACCTTCACAAAAACCCCTAAAAACACATAATCAAGTTTAATTTCCAACACCCCCCTTTCAAATAAACTTCTTATTGATCTTAGGGACTTGAGCAAAAGTTTGTTAGTTGATCTTCAATTCTACCTCCTTCAATTGCAACAATCATCTTGGCCATTTCCATTGATGTATATGACTTGTGAAAAGTCTTCAAATGTTTGTTTGATGTCTTCACACAATCATATATCATCCTCTTTATAGAAACACCATCTATCTTTTTGCTTCTTAAATTTTTTATGACTCTTCCACTTCACATTTGTTTCTTCTTTAGAGTCAAAACATAACTCCATATTCACCCAACCTGTGTCAATTACAAAATTCTCCAAACTATTTTTAAAAAAATAATTTGAGAATTTCTTATCATCTTGAGTTTCAATCTTATATTTCTTTGGAGCAACTTTCTTCAAAAAAAGTTCATCATTTTCCACAACATGAACACAATTATCATAATATTTGATTTCGTTTTTCAATTGAGATGAATATGAAGAAATCATAATTTTATTAAATAAGTCGAATCTAACTTCTTTCAAGGTGGAATTTGTAACCATACCTAAAGATGTTAATGCACCAATTTCAATAACTTTTTCCTCTTCTTCAGTACTTTTTTCTTCTTTAATTTCTCTTTCCACTTCATTTTCCTCCATTTTTTTAATTTCTTCTTCAATATCTTTCCTCACCTCTTCCTCATTTACCATTTCAAGTTCTCCTTCTACTTTTGAATCTTCAAAATGTTCAACTTCATTTGTATTGTATGCCTCTTCATTCTCCACAAATTTATCCTCTATACTTTCATAATCAACCTTAGTAAACTCATAATCCTCAAAGTATTGTACCCAATACCGTGAATTTTTGAGGTATGAGTTGGGGTATGATGTTATGATGATTCTCATTCTCTTGTACATCCCACAAATTTGGCTTGTTGCCATGAATTTTTTTGCCACGTATAAAATTTCGTGATAAAAAGTAGTGTTTTGCCACAAAATTAAATTCTTGTGGCTAAATATTGGTATTTGCCACAGAACAAATTTTTGGTTTAAAATATTAGGTTTTTGCCACGAATATTAAAGATGACAAAAAAATTTGTGGCAAAATGTTAATTTTGCCACAACAAATTAGGGACAACATACAAAGTTGTGGCTGAATGTTATTTTTGAACTAAAATTGCATGCTCTTTTACCACGCAACTATTTTTGTGGTAAATCTATTAGCAATTTGCAACGATGTCATTCTTGTGGCGAAAAATATCGTTTTACCACAATTTTTTTGTTTCGTGGCTAAAATATTTATTTTGTCATGAATTTTCAATCGTAGCTATTGTATGCTCTTTTGCTGCGTAACTATTTTCATAGCAAATGTATTAGTAATTTGCAACGATATCATTCTTGTGATGAAAAATGTTATTTTACCACGAATTTTTTTATCTTATGGCTAAACAATTTATTTTCCCACGATTTATTTTTCTTATTAGAGAAATTCATATCATCTTTTTTTTTTTTTTTTTTTTTTTTTTGAAAGGTGAGAAATTCATATCATCTAGTTTAATCGTAGCTGCCTATATGTCTCAAGGTAATAAAAATTTATTGTTCTAACCAAGGTTCAGTCTCCGGTTTATATTTTGTTAACCAATCTTCCCTAATTCAAATCTTTGTTTAAATTTTTACATAATGATACCAAAAATATAACATCCCCACCTAAACTAACAAAGTAATTGTTAATAAAAATCCAAAATGAAATTACCACTCAACATTGAAAAACAAATTATTGTATAATTAATACTCAACATTAATTATAAATTCAAAATGGATTTGGTGATTTTCATTAACAAAATGAAAATTACCACAAATCCAACTTTTCACATTGAAAAACAAGTGTGCCTTAAAAATTATATTTAGGACAAGTAAATCCTACTTTGAGAAAGAAAAAAAAAATTCATTCAAGTCCAAAATGACCGAATCTTCATTTATAACCTTACAAAATTAGATATTCTCTCGACTGAAACTCTCATGCATACTCTTAGACATAAAATTAAAATAAAGGGCTAAAATCATAAAATCCCCCTATTGTTTTCAAAAACTGTCAACTAACTCCCTCAAAGTACGTACTAAAGAAACTATTATATTACCCTTTGATATTTTAAAAAGTCTATCATATCACCCCCTCCCTGTTAGTTTCCCGTCTAAAACTAACAGGTTGTATTATTTTGCTAACCAAAATAACATTCTAATTCGCACTACAAGAATTCTGGGCAATAGGAACGGACAATCAAGGACAGTTTCAAATTTGTCTCAAAAAGGTAGTTTATTTGGGACGGAAGAGGTTGTTTGTCCCAAATTACCCAAAAAAAGCCCTAAAAGACCAAAAAAAAAAAAAAAATTCCCCCCTCCAATTTGTTAGCGCGAAAATTTAGCGCCATATTTATATTTTTTTTAATAAAAAATTTTCAAAATAGCCTTTTGGGACGGTAAACGTACCATCCTTGATTACTTACCAAGTAATTTTACAAAACTATCCTTTTAAAACGATGTAGTTTTGGTCAATTAGTATATATATATTTTGCCCACAAGGGACACTTGCGCAGGACCCTCTCAATTAAACTTGTTCTGCTCTCTTTCTGAAGGCTTGCCCTCGCTCTTTTCCTTCCGTCTTCTCTCTCAGACGATGATGATCCCTCTACCTTTACATGACATCTAGTGCTGAAAAACTTGTATGGTCTTCCCCAATATCGATCTCTTTATTTTCAATTGAAGTCATTGCCAGCTGATTTTCTCTTTCGCAAAGTGGGTATCAACATGGAGGTCTTGAAGAGCCCCTGATAAGCGCTGAATACTGTATATTCAAGCGCCCTAAATTACATTAACAAAGTCCATTAACTGATTATTTTATGTAGATTAACTTCATTTGCATGTTTTTATGCATTTTCAGGTTAAAGTGCAAAAAGGAAGCAAAAATGATGCCTTGTGGAATTTTGAACAAAAAGGGTGCCAATTCTGAATTTCTGACAGCAGTAGAACCTGACTTTTGTCACCATTTTCGACCTAGCAAACTCAAGAACTGGACTTCCATCATAACATGAAAGATTTTGATCTCTGAATCAGCTTTCCAAATCTTCAAGCGGTTTATCATTCGGAGTTCGGAGCAGAGAGTTATGATCTTCTTAACAGAGGTGCGCAGAACTGCCTGGCAGCACTAAAGTATTGCCTTTCTCCCCATTTTCGACCAACCAGACTTGAGAATTGGGTCTTCATCAAAACATGAAGTTTTTAAAGCACTGAATCAGCTCTCCAAATCTTCAAACAGATCATCATTCAGAGTTCGGGGTACAAAGTTATAGCAGTTTTACCAAAGTAGGTCAGTGCTGAGCAAGAAGAGCATGTTGCACATTACACTAATTTAGAGTGCTCGAAACCACTCTTCGAGTGCTCGAAAATCAGGCAGATTGCACTTGGAAATGGCTCAATTTCAGCCACTTGCACATTGGTTTCCTCAATGCCATCTTCCTTCTTTATGAAGTGGTTGGAGGTGTTCCTTGGAGGGGAGAGAGCCTTGACTTGAGCTTGATAAGAGAGAGGAAGGACCACACAAAATCATTATCATATTTTCTACAAGATTAGGGAGAGAGGAGAGAGCAAGAAAGGTGTGTTCTTGGAGCTAGAAGAGGGGAGCTCGAAAATGGAGGTCAAGGCTTTGCTTCCTCCTTCCTCTAGTGCATCAATGGGTAACTAAACCTCCATCTAGGGAGGTGATGAAGCTCTACCTTGTAAGCATGTCTAGTTTTTGATTTATTTTGGAGAATAAAATGTATATTTGGCTAGTTCCATAGTCTAGAGCATGTTACAAATTGTAATGAAGATTTTGAATGTTTGAATGACTATGTTGATTTACATACTTTTGTCTTAGATTATTTAATCTTATAGTTGTATGGCTTATAGTTTCATAGTG